AATGTGGAAGTAAATTCCACACCATTTCTTTGTCTTTTTTTCCGCGTAGTTTAAAAAATAAAATAAAATAGAGAACTAACTTTCTCTCACGGACTCACCAATATCACGGGCAACCATTCGACCAGATTCTAAGACCAAGGCTTCCTTTAAAATATCTTCAGCATTAGGTTTGGAAATCAGCACAGATAACTCCTTAATTTGCTTGGCATGTGCAGGGACATCCTCTCGCAGTTGAATTGGCTGCAAATTACAAAGTTTATAGATTTCCAACTTCAAATTCTGTACACTGATACTTACAACATATAATTGATCCAAAGCACCTAGCACAGTACAAAGTTCAGCATTGGAGAAGCGGTGACTTGTGGGCACGATCAACATGGGCGACTTGAAGCCAGCCTACAAAATGAGATAAGTTATAAAAAATTTGATACAAAAGTATCTACATACATCTTGTTACTTAAAAATGTATCACTTTATTTCACCTTAATTGCTCGTTCCAACGACTTAGCTGCCGCTTTTTGGTACGTCCGCACATCATGATAATCTGTCAATTCTTGTACTGGTGAATAAACTATGGGCAAGTCCAACTTTTGCGATTTGAAGCAGGAAACCACACTATCGAATGCCTTATCAAATGCTCGAAACTCGCTAAATTGCTCCGCCAACTCCGCCGGCACTTGGCGATCGATAATACAGACTACATCACAGCTGGACTTTTGAATCAGCTTTGCAATTTTGACGCTGCAAGGAAGCAATCTGATAGCATGGGAGAAAAGTTAAAGATGGCATTCAATTATCCAATTTTTTAAGTTCAAGGTGAAAGAAGTTTAGAAACACAATCCACAATACTTCTACATGTAGCGATAGCATGGTGAAACCTATAAATACTTATTAATATAGCGCACATGTACCAACATACATACATATGTACGTATATGCAGCAAGTGGACGTTTTTATCAAACCAATCAACACTTTATTGTGCGAAATGTTCCATTTGTGTTTTATTTATGTATGTATGTATGTAGATATGCATAGCATTTACAATTAAAGGCTTTTTTGCACATACTCATTTCCTCATGTAAATACATATATGTATATGTACATATGTAGGTATAAGTCATAAACAATAAACCTTTATATGCCATGCCGTATATTCTATAGTATAATTTATGAGCACAAATGAAATGCTACTGATTACCTTATCAGTCCAGAAAGGAGGCGTAAAGCGAATTATTAAAACCAACAGAGACACACACGCATGTCATGCATGCATGAGAAAAATATGTATGTATGTACATACATATATCTCGAATTGGCATACATATGTATGTATGTGCATATATTTTTAAGCATTCGCATATTTGTGCAGGTGTTTATTATTACAAAGTATGATCATACATATTTTACACTGCTTTAAACTTCGACTGAACCAATTTTGGTTACTTTAAGTTCAATACTTGGCAGTATTAAAACTAATTAATCCCACGTGAACGTTTTTATAACATTGAAACGTTAAAGATACCTTTGGCAAAAATGTTGAAATGCATTTAAATGTGGACATAAAATAAAGTGATTCGAACATCTACATTGAATATGTTCGCATCCGTTTAGAGTACCTTAAAAAATTCGTGTGATTTTTCTTATGTTTTAGCTTATGGCGTTTTCTTATTTACAACAAAATTGTGTCTAAATTTTATTGAAGAAATACATACATACATATATAATAAGTATATGAGCATTAGATTCTTGAAAGTGGCAATTTAAAAAAATTTTATAGAAGAAAATGCCTTTCACTATTGCGCGCTCTTTCTTGAGATGTGTATACTATGCTTTATACAATGATTTTATGAAAATAGAGGTAAACCGATTATTTGCTGAAGCCACTGTATATATTTAAAAATACATAAATAAATGCTGAATGGAATGTCTGACTGAGTTTACATCTTATAAAATCTAATCTTATCTGCACTTAGTCAGTTCACATGGCAGCACTTAGTTGATATAGAATTTTTACTAAGGAGTTGGATTTTTTAATCTTTGGGTAATCAAGAATGCAGATATGGATATTAGCGTGGGCCGAAAATCCGCTTTTTAGAATTTTGATTGGTAATAGCAAAAATATATCGATGGCTGAGTGGAAGATCGACCTATCTCGGCAGCCAGTTCGAAAACGCTCTATCTAAAAAAACTTTTCAAGAACGCCCTATTTCAGAACTCGTTTCAAAAACGCCCTATCTCAGCTGCCGATTCAAAACCGCCCTATATCAGCATATTTTCAATACATTTTGAAGTGAGATAGGGCTTTTTTGAACCGAATTTTGAGATAGGGTGTTTTTCAATTAAATTCTGAAATAGGGCGTTCTTGAAAAGTTTTTTGAGATAGAGCGCTTTCGAACTGGCTGCCGAGATAGGTCGATCTTCCACTCAGCCATCGATATATTTTTGCTATTACCAATCAAAATTCTAAAAAGCGGATTTTCGGCCCACGCTAATATCCATATCTGCATTCTTGATTACCCAAAGATTAAAAAATCCAACTCCTTAGTAAAAATTCTATATCAACTAAGTGCTGCCATGTGAACTGACTAAGTGCAGATAAGATTAGATTTTATAAGATGTAAACTCAGTCAGACATTCCATTCAGCATTTATTTATGTATTTTTAAATATATACAGTGGCTTCAGCAAATAATCGGTTTACCTCTATTTTCATAAAATCATTGTATAAAGCATAGTATACACATCTCAAGAAAGAGCGCGCAATAGTGAAAGGCATTTTCTTCTATAAAATTTTTTTAAATTGCCACTTTCAAGAATCTAATGCTCATATACTTATTATATATGTATGTATGTATTTCTTCAATAAAATTTAGACACAATTTTGTTGTAAATAAGAAAACGCCATAAGCTAAAACATAAGAAAAATCACACGAATTTTTTAAGGTACTCTAAACGGATGCGAACATATTCAATGTAGATGTTCGAATCACTTTATTTTATGTCCACATTTAAATGCATTTCAACATTTTTGCCAAAGGTATCTTTAACGTTTCAATGTTATAAAAACGTTCACGTGGGATTAATTAGTTTTAATACTGCCAAGTATTGAACTTAAAGTAACCAAAATTGGTTCAGTCGAAGTTTAAAGCAGTGTAAAATATGTATGATCATACTTTGTAATAATAAACACCTGCACAAATATGCGAATGCTTAAAAATATATGCACATACATACATATGTATGCCAATTCGAGATATATGTATGTACATACATACATATTTTTCTCATGCATGCATGACATGCGTGTGTGTCTCTGTTGGTTTTAATAATTCGCTTTACGCCTCCTTTCTGGACTGATAAGGTAATCAGTAGCATTTCATTTGTGCTCATAAATTATACTATAGAATATACGGCATGGCATATAAAGGTTTATTGTTTATGACTTATACCTACATATGTACATATACATATATGTATTTACATGAGGAAATGAGTATGTGCAAAAAAGCCTTTAATTGTAAATGCTATGCATATCTACATACATACATACATAAATAAAACACAAATGGAACATTTCGCACAATAAAGTGTTGATTGGTTTGATAAAAACGTCCACTTGCTGCATATACGTACATATGTATGTATGTTGGTACATGTGCGCTATATTAATAAGTATTTATAGGTTTCACCATGCTATCGCTACATGTAGAAGTATTGTGGATTGTGTTTCTAAACTTCTTTCACCTTGAACTTAAAAAATTGGATAATTGAATGCCATCTTTAACTTTTCTCCCATGCTATCAGATTGCTTCCTTGCAGCGTCAAAATTGCAAAGCTGATTCAAAAGTCCAGCTGTGATGTAGTCTGTATTATCGATCGCCAAGTGCCGGCGGAGTTGGCGGAGCAATTTAGCGAGTTTCGAGCATTTGATAAGGCATTCGATAGTGTGGTTTCCTGCTTCAAATCGCAAAAGTTGGACTTGCCCATAGTTTATTCACCAGTACAAGAATTGACAGATTATCATGATGTGCGGACGTACCAAAAAGCGGCAGCTAAGTCGTTGGAACGAGCAATTAAGGTGAAATAAAGTGATACATTTTTAAGTAACAAGATGTATGTAGATACTTTTGTATCAAATTTTTTATAACTTATCTCATTTTGTAGGCTGGCTTCAAGTCGCCCATGTTGATCGTGCCCACAAGTCACCGCTTCTCCAATGCTGAACTTTGTACTGTGCTAGGTGCTTTGGATCAATTATATGTTGTAAGTATCAGTGTACAGAATTTGAAGTTGGAAATCTATAAACTTTGTAATTTGCAGCCAATTCAACTGCGAGAGGATGTCCCTGCACATGCCAAGCAAATTAAGGAGTTATCTGTGCTGATTTCCAAACCTAATGCTGAAGATATTTTAAAGGAAGCCTTGGTCTTAGAATCTGGTCGAATGGTTGCCCGTGATATTGGTGAGTCCGTGAGAGAAAGTTAGTTCTCTATTTTATTTTATTTTTTAAACTACGCGGAAAAAAAGACAAAGAAATGGTGTGGAATTTACTTCCACATTGCTTCCGTCAATTGGCAATGCTGCTAGTTGTATGGGCGTGTACAGTTTTTATATTTACCAAAATGCCTAAAAGTATGCAACAAAATACTAAATGACTATTTGCTTTCTTAGGCGTTGGCGATCCAGAGCGTATGGCGCCACCGCGCGTAGAAGACTACGTTAACAATGTGCTCTCCTCGCTGAAGAAGGAAGTAATTAGCGATTTAAACGTTTTGCAAGAGGATTATCCGTTATTTGCCGCTGTCAATCGCGCTGCAAACCAAGTAAAACGCCATCGCGGTCGCATTATCTTCTTGGAGTATGTGCCGCCACAGCCGGCATCCAAAACACTCATGCTAGTGGGTAAGGGCGTCACCTACGATACTGGTGGTGCTGATATCAAGGCTGGTGGTGTAATGGCTGGCATGTCACGTGATAAGTGTGGTGCAGCTGCTGTCGCAGGGTTCATGCAGGTAATGTCAGCATTTCTTTTGTTTACTGCAACTAATCGTACTGGAACCGCTTTATATGCAGATTGTCAATGAGCAAAAGCCTGCTGATGTACACGTCATGGCTGCACTCTGTATGGTACGCAATTCAGTGGGTGAGGAATCGTACGTATCCGATGAGATTCACACCTCCCGTGCTGGTGTGCGCATACGCGTTGGTAATACTGATGCTGAAGGGCGCATGTGTATGGCGGACGCGTTGTGCCGTATGAAAGAGATAGCTATCGAACGCAAACTACCTGACCCCCATCTTTTCACTATAGCGACCCTCACTGGTCATGCTTGTATTTCAGCTGGGGATGGTTACTCCATTGCCATTGACAATAGTGTAGCACAAAAAGCTGGCCATGCGCGCTTGTTGCAAGAGGTTGGCCAATCCTTTGGCGAGCCTTTCGAGGTGTCTGTGCTACGTCCAGATGATTTCGATTTCAATAAGGGTAAAGTGATTGGAGAAGATATTGTACAGGCCAATAATGCCCCTTCAACACGCACGCCCAGAGGACATCAGGTAAATGACTATCGAAGTGTGCTAAACGAATATTTATCGATTTAATTTGCTTTTATTTTAGATTCCAGCCGCTTTTCTCATTCAAGTCACCGGTTTGGACAAACATGGCTTGGAGTCGAGCTTGCCAATCAAATATACGCACATTGACGTTGCTGCCAGTGCTTGTGTATTCCCTAAAATGCCTACTGCTGCACCGATCGTGGCATTGGCAAAAACACATTTGTAAATTTAACCGTCCATTTGAGGTTTGCATTTATGCAGAATGTGTACAGCATTTTCCAATTGAAACTTAATCAAATTGTACTTATAACCGCAATGCATGTATGTAGATATGTAACTTTGTTACTCTACTTAACCACTACGTAATATAATCACAAACGAAAAGTCAGGAATTGCCAAAATATAAATTTTGTTTAAAAAGGTAGTCACCAAAAATGTACTTTTCTAATGCAGTTCTATAGAGATTCTCAAACTGCATTACCGGAATGTATTGTGGAACGATTTTCCACAATATACATACATATCATATTCCTACCAGTGTTGCCACAACATTTTTTGATTTCTTACCAAAATCACAAGAAAAAGATAACAGTTTCGGAAAAAATAGGTCGTTCTTGAAAAATTTCTGAGATAGGGCGTTTTCGAACCGGTTGCCTAGAAATGTCGATCTTCCGTTCAGCCGTCGATATGTACATAAAAAGGTGTGACGATCCACAACCTTATATGTATCCTTATTGAATTGTTATGAATAATAATTCAACTATACTGATTGATATACATATTAATCACATTCCTATTAATGCAAATAATGTATACATTTATTAAATTGTTACCGATTGTCTGAAAACAATAAAAAAAGTTAACAAAATAGTGATCTGATTTTTAGGTACATTTCCATTGTCAAATTAGGTACAATTTAAAATTTCGATTTTCTATCCCTGGTCAGAACGATCCTGTATTGACCTATGTGACATGTAGAACCCAACTAAAAAGTTGCCAAATTGAAAAACAAATTACCAAATTTTACGGAACTTTGATTGAATATATATCCAAATGTATTTCGCTAATGGCGGATGCCATCCCCACGGATCTAATCCGATTCGATGCCTCGGGATACATGCCTATTCCGGTCCGACAGATACCCTTCGCTCGAGTCTAAACTTTCACACCATCTTCACACTGCCTTGTTGTGACAATGGGAATCGGATTAGATCTGTACGGATGATTATTTTTTTATATTTTCGTTTGCGTTTACAAGCATCTGTAACCTACTACATTGCTTACAACGACATAAGCAAAATTTGTTCATGCCTTGGAGAGACGGAAAGAATTCAGGTCAGTTCAAGTGGAGTCATCCCTCCCCATCTGTTTTTTTTTCTTGTTGGATCAGCTGTGACCTTGACACACTAGTACGTACATATCTATCTGTCTATGTATATCTGTCTAACATCTGTCCAATTCAGTTTCAGTAATTTGGTCCCACAGCCATGCCCCCTCAGTTGTGCCAGTGCTACATCCCATATCAACAAATTGAGCTACTCATTTCAAGCCCTTTTAACACCAAACAACACATGATTTTAACTTCATAAAAAAAAAAATCATTTTTTTTATTTTCACTATACACATAGCGATGGTACATTGACAAAAACTCGTATCTCAAAACACTGTCTAACAAAAAACGCCCTATTAAAAACAGAAAAGCATTTTCATAACTTTTTTTTTACTGAGCATTAAAGATTAACTACTTTTTAGTTAATTAAGAATAATATATACAGGCCGATTCTGAACAGAAATTCCACGGGAGTTTTTCTCCTTTCCCTTTCCTCCTATCATGACGGAGTTGAGCTGTCAAAAAGGTGTCAAACAGCTCTGTCGAAATTCGATTTTTCTCCTCCCCAATTCTCGGGGGAAATGCTACTCCCTGGGAGTTAACTATTGGAGGATTTTTTTCTCGGGAGAGTTCAGAATTGGGCTGATAATGAATTGTAGTATTTTAAGGCCTATTTTGAATAAATTTTACGAGATACGAAGTAGTAGTGAGTTATATGCTACATCGATTTTAATCGAATATAAAAAGTTGATTATATCGACAATGTTTTTACAAAACCGCCTATCGACCAGTTGCAAAACCGCCTAAATCGNCTGAGATACGAGGTTTTGTCAAAGTACCGTCGATATGCTACATCGATTTTAATCGAATATAAAAAGTTGATTATATCGACAATGTTTTTACAAAACCGCCTATCGACCAGTTGCAAAACCGCCTAAATCGCCGCTGCGTCAAAATTGTGATATCCCTGAAATCCAGGCATCGAGATTTATGCATAAAAATCTTATTATTAACAGAACGGATTTGTAAAATAATTGCTAGAGAAAATAGCGTCTATCAAGGCAAAGAATAAACCATTTTTTCGCTCTCCTGTAAAATTTGAATGCCGTAAGTTAGCAGGATTTGCAATTGGTCGATGGGCGGTTTTGCAAAACTATCGACGATATTATATACTTTTGAAATTTTGTACTGTGATATGTGAGTAATCTTACAAGCGATGAAGGCGATGGCACCAGCAAACATGTCGATTGACATATCGAAGGCTGAGTGGCAGATCGACCTATCTCGGCAGCCAGTTCGAAAACGCCCTATCTCAGAAAATTTCTCAACAACGCTCTATCTCAGAAAACTTTTCAAGAACGCCCTATTTCAGAATTTCATTGAAAAACGGCCTATCTCAGAATTTGGTTGCAGAACGCCCTATCTCAGCTGTCGATTCAAAAACGCCCTATCTCAGCTTATTTTCAATGTGTTTTCGTATGAGAAAGGGCCCTTTTGAACAGAATTCTGAGATAGAGCGTTATTCGACCAAATACTGAGATAAGTTGTTTTTCAATCAAATTCTGAAGGAGGCCGTTCTTGAAAAATTTTCTGAGATAGGGTGTTTTTAAACTGGCTGCCGATATATGTAGGTCGATCTTCCACTCAGCCATCGATATAGTGCAACACTCACACACATGTACATAAGTAAGTATGCTTTCCAAAGGGCTAGACCTTCAAATTCCTAGCGAGCGCATTCGAACCGCATCAACTACACTACATCAAGCTACCTCCACTGCTTACATTTTTTGTGAGCAAATCGTATACATTTAGATCACAGTGCTCTTGAACCAGATTCAACTGAATCTACGGGGGTGTTCCCTAGTCAGAAATTTAGTTGGAAGATAAAAATTATAAAATTGCGTTAAGCTGATAAATTTGATTATTTAATATTCATATAGCTATTATAAATTCCAATATATGCGAAAGCACATGCCTAGGTACCCACGCAAACGTGGTAAGGACATTTTCATGTTAGTCAAAACAACCGACAATCTGGCCTTATGTAAAACATAGTAAGGTTCCGAAGTCAACAGAAATGTTCGCTTGTCTTCAGATACATACGATAGTTTAGAGAAATACGAAATCTTCGATAAATCAGTAAATACTGAAGCTAATTCATTCAAAATTGATGTTTGCAATAATTCTTTAGCACAAAATACGCTTATGATAACATTTTGAAAAACTGGGCGTGGCACCGCCCACTTATGACCCTATATGCGTATCTCAGTAACAGTTCGAGCAATTTGTAACAAACTCGGAATAATTATTGTGCTTGCCACATAAAAGAAAAACGCTGAAAATTATTGGATTAGGACTAAAATTAGACCCACTTTATAGAAATGCTTGAAACTTCGATATTTCGAAATTTAAGAAGTAACGTTATCATGGAATTTTGGAAAAGTAGTAATTTTGGCGCGATACCGCCCACATATAACTATATAAGTTTATCGAAGATATTTGAAATAGAGCTAAATCCACCCCTGCTTACCATGTAGCGGTAGCTTTCGGAAAGGTGAAAAAACCTATATGTATCTAATATTCGGCTCCTCCCGAACTTGGACTTTTTTACTTGTTTATTTTACGGCTTTTCTGAAACGCGAAAGGCAGGAAAAGGCACTAGAAATCGCAAAAAGGACAAAAGAAGGCACTAAAAAACCCCAAAACCGAAAAATAATCAAGAAATACATTTATTTTAGAAATGTTTGTATTACGAGTAAAAAGAGAAAAACTATGAACTAATTTCATTATATGAAAAATTTGTACTTTGAATCTTTGACTATTTTCTACTTCCGAGTTTTTAACTCACAAAACTTGAATCTCTATAGTTGCAGTAACATTGAACCACAAGATGCACTTTGAAGTTTTCTGGCAGCATTTTCATTCGATTATCGCCAGGAAAAGCCTTGAATGTACTAAACGTGCGGAATAAGGGCTTTTCCGCGTTATAATCACTTTTTTAAAGGTAGAAAAGGTGAAAAAGGCAACATCAAATCAGAATACATGGAATATGTGAAAGCTAAATCGTGGGCATTCTTAATCGAATATACTCTATTTCTTATCAGAAAAAAAGCGATTTCCATAAATATTTATCCATAGAATGCCATAGGTCCACAAAAAACCTACTCCAGAAAATTTCAAAAACGGCATTCATATTTCTAGGGCATATTTAGATCGGTGAGCCCGGATATGTCCTCTGTGTTTTCAGATTGGCTCTCATTTACGAATAATTGCGAATTTTGTAAAATTTTCAGTTTCTAATGTGTTGATGCGTTCTTCATTTAAATTAAATAAATAACTTAAAAATATAAAAAAGTGCATTTTGAACCTGAAGTCAGTTAGACTCGTACACCTCCTAAATTTCGATTAAATTGCGATTTTTTTTGTTACTTTTATTATTTCCGCAATTAACTCGAAAATTAGGAGCTGAACGAGTCAAACTGACTTCAGATTCCGATTCAGTGGGTCCAAATACATGTCGGTAGGTGGTTAAAAGCACCAAAGCACAAAGCATAAATTGTATGCTGTCAGCAAAAAGTATGTTCAATGATATGAAGAAAATGAGCAACACTTCAACAAACGAAATTCCAAAAATTAACCGTAAGTCCCAGCCACTTCAAACTTGAACTTTGTTATACTTAAATTAAATGGGCTACCAAATCGCGTACTCAAAATCTTTCTGTGAAATCTAATTGAAAAGCTCGAAATTTTTACAAGTATGTGTAAGCGTGTTTAAAAAAAAATACAATAAAATGCCAGCGACAGATTTCTGCAGCTGAATTTTATTTTATTCAGTATTTAATACTTTTCTAAAGGCAGCATCTAACAGCGTATTTTTACTGTTTCATTTAACAACTCAAATTTTGTTAACAAAACAAAAACAAAAATACCATTATATGTATTTCTACTACTAAAAAAAATCTGTTGCAGTGTTGATATTCACAAAATTTTTTACGTATTTTGCTAGCCTTACACGTTTATAACTTTTCCTTTTGAATCTACCATAATGTTGTGCTTGGGCGAAAACCACATTTAGACTGAAAATAAGGAGGGGA